GGGGGCCCGCTTACTAATTAGGATCGAACATTACACACTATGCACTATGTATAACCAACAATGTCAAACAATGTCCGAATGGGGCACCTATCGCTAACAAAAAGCTTCAACTGTCCGCCCGCCGAGCTGCTGTAAGCCAGGTGTAGCTCAAGGACTCCAGGCCTGCCGCGAGTATGGTGCATCAAAACTACGTGAGATGCATGTCTATTGTGTCACTGTGAGGAGCACAGGTCTTTCTAGAGCCAGCCTCGGACTACTGACTAGAGGACATCATCGCGCACAGGACTTTCAAATCCACTTTTTGCACCTTTTACTTATATAATCTTATATATTATTTCCAGTTGTGGTTGCCGCGTGCTGCTGCTACTCAGCTACTCAATTGGAGAGACGGTCAAATATCAGCGTCTTTGGCTGGTCTTCAAACGGCCCACAACGAGCCGTCGGAAGTCAAGCGACGCAGGGCGGATGGAAGTCCAAGCAACCACCGAGCAGGGCTTCCGCATCCGCGTCGCCCATGTGAGCAGCACGGCGCAGCCAGCGCAAAGCGCTTTTGAAGGATCCGGACTCCAAGAAGGAAAGGCCCAGATTGTGAGCTGCCTCCTTGGAAGATTTGGACAGGCTGGAAGGACATACAGTGACATACAGGCTGGCATTGAATCTTCAAGTTTTCAACTTCTTCCAGGGGACAAAGACTCAAGGAGCACTTGCCATGCAAACATAAGGCACGGTGAAAGGAGGACCTGAATGGATCCCAATGAGTGTAGGTGAATGTCATCACCACTTCTTGACATGATCTGATGATGTACTGACAGACTTGATTGAATTGTGAACAAAAGTATCAAAAACAATTCTTATCAATTCTTGATCCCCCATGATGCCTGTCTCGCTGGACCCTTCATTCTGGGGTCGATATCAGATTCAAAAGTTGTGCAATTGTCGAACTCTACGATCCAAGGTCAGCTCCTTGACACCCTGACGTGCAGCACGGCGCCACCAATGCTGGGCTCTCGCCCTGCGGCCCTCCTGCATCTGCCTGCGGAGTGTGAACCAGTATCTTATCAACACCATGTACGGAGTGTTGAGGTGTACTAAAAATTGCACCGCCGATAAAGGTGGTGGCGTTGGTGGGTGGTTGGGTGGTTGGGTGGGTGGTGGTGGTTGGTGATGGTTAGTGGTTGTTATATATCCCGAATGCTGTCACTGTCGCTGCGGTCGTTGTTGTTGTTGTTGCTGCTGCTGCTGCTGCTGCTAATTAGCTCTTGTTGCTGGATAAAATGGAACAATCAACTCCACCGGAGGGCAAATGACTGCGTTGTACTGCAAGAGCATTCATCATCATTCGTCAACGCCCAAGCCCAACCCTATTTTGGTTGCAGCGCACCTCAACCCCCAATTCAGCTGTGCGGTGCTTTGTCCTTTGGACGCAGCTTGTGCCAGCCATCGCCAGCCCTGCGCCGCTTCACCACTATTGAAGATCAAGCTCCGGGCATACCTCGGGGCCACCAAACTGACGACTCCTTTTGTTTTTGCATCCATCCCCAGTCATAGAAGTTGAGGCAATGCATGTACCACCCTACAGGCATGGCATGTGCACTGGAACCGCTCATCGGCAGTTGATGTCTGTAGCCAGGGCACCTAGAACCTGGAACGCTTCCTAACCTCCACCCTCTTGCAGCCGATAGGCGGCACATTGGAGATCATTTGAGTGTTGGGGCTTTGATCGTATCATCCAGGCAGGAATCCTTCTGATCCTTTGGCTGGCAGTCCAACAAAGTAAACAAAGTCCCCTGAACACATCAGAGTTGCTGATACTGGGCATTGGGCTCCCCCAGTCGAGCATACTTCCTCTTCCAGGGCGTCTGTGCCTTGTGACAGGCCGCCCGGCTGGTGCTGAACCTCGAACGCCCAAGAATGCTGTGTGACACGACTCCCTCAATGTCTGCGACAAATGCACCAATTGATCCTTTTGGACTGGGCGATGTTTATTTGACCTTCAAGATGGAGGGACTCGGGGGACCGTAGTGTGAGGTCGGAGCGCACCAAACCAACAAGAAAGGGCTACATGGTTTCGATATGTTTCGATGTTATTCCCCTTTGGACCTGCAATGCCAGGTGAAGACCCGAGAAGATATGAGAAAATGACAAAGCTTGTTGGACGCCAAAGCCACCACATGATCAGGCTGTGACGAGTACCGCCTTGAACGTCGACACCTCAAGCCCATGCGCTTGGCGCTTCACACCCTTGCTGTCGTGCCTGCCTCCTTTTGGCACCTGTTTTGAATGCTGAGATTCTATTCCACCCTTGACAAGCATTAAGGTGCCTCATTTTCATTAGGTGACTGATCCCCCTTCTTTGGGCTACGAATCTGCAAGCTGCATGGCTGTCTGAGCTGAGGTATGCTGAGGTGCCCTGCTGTGGAGCAGGTCATAGGAGTGCAGCACCAAATCTCCCAAGTCCAGCTCGACGAGGCGTCGTGAATGCTCAGCAGGTTGTGCTTGCACCACCAGGCCTGCAACCATCGCCAAAATGAGGCAAGTGCTTTATGTAGACAAAGGGGGGCAACCAAAGAAATCGTCCCAACACCTACTGTATATACAGTGTGCTTTGAACATCTTTGAACATGGTATGGCCATCTTCATGCTTTCTCCTGTCCAATCATCTGCGTTATCTCCCCCACAATAGCCCACATGACATGAGTGATTCAAGCTGCCCAAGCAACACACACACACACATATAGGTATAATTATATATATATATTACGATTCATTATTGTTTATATAAACATGCCAGCATACCTTTTGGACACAGCACGCCTCTGTGCCATTTGGATTGTCACCATGTTGGTTGCGTAGATCTATGCAAACTGCAGTGCTGTGGACATGGAGACTTGCAGATGTGTGCCCCCAGCCTCCAGAGAAGTCTGAGAGCTTATCAAGAGATACAATGGCAGTTGCAAAAGCATACCTCAGCAAGTCTGAGCAACTCAAGAGTGACCAACACCGAAACAAACACAACAAAACAGTTCTGGCCAGCCAAGCTCGGGGATTCCCCTCAATCACATGTTCAATTGCCCCAGGTGGGAAAGGATGGAAAAGGCATGCAGCCCGGGTTGCCTGGGTCGATGGTGTTTGGATGTGTTTGGTAACTTTGTGAGTTGAAATGCAAGCTGCTCATCAAAATGTGCCTGGATGGACGTCCGAATGCCCGCATCGCCATATCTTCGCAACAATGAGCTGCACAAAAAGCCTCAAATGTGCTTCAACATGCTTCAACCATACAATTCAATCCCACACAGAAAGTGGGTCCCATTCAATCCGGACTGGTATGAACTTGGAGGGACCGCCCCTCCACGACTGGTGATGGATAACGAAAGCCAAGTCCAGTCAACCTGGATCAACGAAGCTTCGTATCCGCCAAACGAGTGACAATGGCAGCGAAGCTTGGTCTGCACGTATGACTCCGCTTTGTCCCAAATGGGCTTGGCCGCGCGCTGCAGGGTGTCCATGCCAGCTCGATGGGACAGCACACCATCCTGATACCCCCATGTGACCAAAGCAGCTTTTGTCATGAATTGAAAGTGTGAGAGCTGTAAATGTGGTACTTCACAACATTATATATGTATAGAATTATGATGAATTAGGAATGTGTGCAGAATGAGGTCCAAGTTTGTTTAGGGATTGCAAATGCTGCAAACCACTCGACAAGAATCTATGATAATCTACAGTATTGTGTACCTTTCTTTTTCCGAGATTGCAAATTACTGATTACTGCTGCCGGAAGACTCCGCTTCCATAAACCGTGTACAATTCTCTACCATGCCATGTTGAATAGTCATAGCAACATATAGCAACCACCTTACAACCAACGACGGGTCTGAAAAACATGCGCCTCACTTCTTCCCTGCAAAAGCCCATGCTATGCTTTGTTATTTTCGATTGCTCCTTTGTCCCTATTTTCCCATCTCCCCTCTTTCTCGCTCTCCATAGCTCTCCGTCGCTTTCAAAAAGTGTTTGCTTCCTGTACCAGTTTGCAAGATTCATGCAACGAATGTCAACCAGGCGGACCAAAGTGACAGCCTGACAGCCATTGGATACAAGTGTCGTCGTGGAATTGGAAATCTCTCCTGCTCTTTTCCTTCTCTCTTAACCTCCTTCTTGCGGCCACACAGGCCAAACAAATGTCAGCACATGAATACTTGATTGCCTTTGCAACCCCTTTTGTTGCATTTCTTTTGGATTTGGCACGCCCTCCAACAACTATAATCCCTTGTTCCATGACCTTCAGTCCTTCTTCAAAGGGATCTCATCTGTGGGTTGGCCATCCACCGAGTCAGCATCTTGGTTGAAAAGTCCCGAACTCTCGGCCGCAGCGAGATGGCGCAGGGCCTCCCGGAAAACACCAGGAGTTGGTCGACGTTCACAACGATGCCGATAGAAACAGGCATGAAAAAATGTGAAAAGGCATCTTCTCATCATCGCTTTCAGTGCCTTTTTTCCTGTTTCTATTTTTTGGGAGGTGCTGGATTTGGAGCAAGGGAGTGATTCTCATGGGGGGCGCGGTGGCTCGAAGACTCCTAAGAGGCTTCTGCAACTTGTGCAGCCTAGTAAGTCAATTGGTGCGAGATATCTGAGCTTTGCTGCCAAATGTTGGGCAACATGAATGTTGGCAACATGTTGTGACCAATCGCAAGCCAACAACCAAAGCAGCTGTAGCATGCTGTAGCACTGCATGTGATCCCATTGTGCGTGAGCAATGGCGGTCAAGCAAGCACGCATATGGAAATCGTACGACAACAGCATGAGCATGAGGACCCCCGAAAAAACAAGTATTACATAAACAACTGCAGGTAAGTCTTGGTCAAATCGGGCCCCATACCCCTGCCCATCTGCCCTTTTCACCGCGGCTCCGATCCACGCGTGTCAAGTATGTTGGAGCTTGCTCTCTCAATCCAGCGATGCCTCCTAGAAGACAAAGCACATGCCTGCCACCAAAGCGTTTGGCAGGTCTTCAAACCGTTTAAGCAGGGCACCCAAGGCTCTGACAATGAACAATGAACCTCCATTCTCGGGTGCTACAAGGCTACTTAGGCTTTTGAAGGGACAACAGGAAGTACCTCATGGATCTGTCAGGAAGGAGTTTGCCTTTTGGAGGCCAGGTTGGCACAGTCCGGTGGACAATAACTCGGATGATAGTGGTCAATGCTGGTTAGAAGAATTTGTGTCTCACAGGTTTTGCCAACGATCACTGGCTGGATTAGCAAGAGGCCACTAGTATTTGCTACTAGTAATGCAAGGAGCTACTAGTAATTAGCTTTTTGTTACTAATAGTAATTATGGTGCCTTGTTACTCGTAGCAAGAAGTAGATGCCAGGTAGGAGTGTCTCCGTGGCTCTCACAGCTCTCCATGCCCAATTGGCCTGATGCCGGCATTCCTTGATTTCGCAGCGCGAGGAACCCGATCCACGCCGACACTCCAGCCATAGCAACCGCAAATCAGCTGATATCAGCTGCCCATATCACCGTTCTAAACACACTAAAACTGTGACCACACCAGCAAAAATATCTTGGAGGTTGCATTAGCATCGTCAAGCTAGCACACAGTTACACTGGAACATCAACAAAATGACACCACCGTAGACCCCAAACAGTTTGTGTTTTTCAATATCGGAACAGTCTGCAACTAGAGCTTGCGACGTCCAGAGCTGGGAGACAAAGGATTGCAAGGCAGAGGCGGCCACAGCAGTCCAGAGCTGGGAGACAAATGTAAAGGATTGCAAGCGACATGCAGCCCAGAGCTGGGTGACAAATGCAAAGGCTTGCGAGCACATGTAAAGGATTGCAAGGCAGAGGGGACACAGCAGTCCAGAGCTGGGAGACAAATGTAGACACAGGGAGACAAATGACAATGTAAAGGATTGCAAGCAACATGCAGCCCAGCGCTGGGAGACAAATGTAAAGGATTGCAGGGCAGAGCAGCTGGGAGACAAATGTGAAGGGTTGCAAGCGAGAGGGGGAGAGAGGAGGCAAATGTAAAGGAAAGAAGGAAGACAAGGCGGACACAATGACCAACAAGAAGGGGGACAACAAGGGAGACAAGAAGGGAGCAAGACGGACACAGTGCCCAACAAGAAAGGAGACAAGACCGGAGACAAAGGGAGACAGAAGGGATACAAGGCGGACACAATGACCAACAAGAAGGGAGACAAGAAGGGAGAAGAAAGGAAACAGAAGGGAGACAAGACGGACACAATGACCAACAAAAAGGGAAACAAGACCGGAGACAAAGGGAGACAGAAGGGACGAGGCGGACACAATGACCAACAAGAGGGAGACAAAAAGGAGACAAGACAAAAGATAACAGAAGGGAGACAAGACGGACACAATGATAAACAAGAAGGGAGACAAGAAGGGAGACAAAAGAAAACAGAAGGGAGACAAGACGGACACAATGACCCACAAGAAGGGAGACAAGACCGGAGACAAAGAAAGAATGAAGGGAGACAAGGCGGACACAGTGACCAACAAGAAGGGAGACAAGAAGGGAGAAAAAAGGAAACAGAAGGGAGACCAGGCGGACACAGTGACCAACAAGAAGGGGGACACAGTGACCAACAAGAAGGGAGACCAAGGGAGACAAGGCGGACACTCTTAGAAAGCATTTAGAACCCCTAACGGTAACCTGTTCGGGGAAGTACAGAAATCACCTGGGAGACAAATGAATAGAAATGCTGGAAAGGGGAAAAGGGCGGATGCCAGCAGTGCAGGCACCGAACCTGGAAAACAACAGTAAACAAACCACATGGGAAACAAATTAATAGAAATGCTGCATGGCCAGCGCAAAAGGGCGGACCTGGGAGACAAAAGTAAAGAAATAATTTTAAAGACAAACGAATTGAAATGCTGCATGGCCAGCAGAAATGGGCGGACACCAGCAGTGACACAAAGGGCGGACACATCTTCAGAAAGAATTGAGAAACCCTACGTAACCGCAAACTGCTTGGGGAATGAATAGAAATGTTGCATCGCCAGCGGAAAAGGGCGGACACCAGCAGTGCAAATGAACAGAAATGCTACAAGGCCAACCGAAAAGGGCGGACACCAGCAGCGATAGACCTGGCAAACAAATGAATAGAAATGCTACATGGGCCAGCAGAAAAGAGCTGACACCAGCAGCGATAGACCTGGCAAACAAATGCATAGAAATGCTACATGGCCAGCGGAGAAGGGCGGACACCAGCAGTGTGCATCGCCAGCGGAAAAGGGCGGACACCAGCAGTGACAGACCTGGGAGACAAATGCATAGAAATGCTACATGGCCAGCGGAAACCGCAAACACCAGCAGTGACAGACCTGAGAGACAAATGAATAGAAATGCTATATGGCCGGCGGAAGAGGGCGGACACCAGCAGTGACAGACCTGGGAGACGAATGAATAGACATGCTACATGGCCAGCGGAAAAGGGCGGACACCACCAGTGACAGACCTGGGAGACAAATGAATAGAAATGCTACATGGCCAGCGGAAAAGGGCGGACACCAGCAGTGACAGACCTGGGAGACAAATGAATAGAAATGCTA